TAGGTATTACGAGCAGGCCTGATGACTGAAGGCTCTACCTCCCATAGTACATTTAGAGACCGTAGGTACTGAAGGCTCTACCTCCCATAGTACATTTAGAGACTGTAGGTATTACGAGCAGGCCTGATAACTGAAGGCTCTACCTCCCATAGTACATTTAGAGACTGTAGGTACCACGAGCAGGCCTGATGACTGAAGGCTCTACCTCCCATAGTACATTTAGAGACTGTAGGTACTGAAGGCTCTACCTCCCATAGTACATTTAGAGACTGTAGGTATTACGAGCAGGCCTGATGACTGAAGGCTCTACCTCCCATAGAACATTTAGAGACTGTAGGTATTACGAGCAGGCCTGATGACTGAAGGCTCTACCTCCCATAGTACATTTAGAGACTGTAGGTATTACGAGCAGGCCTGATAACTGAAGGCTCTACCTCCCATAGTACATTTAGAGACTGTAGGTACCACGAGCAGGCCTGATGACTGAAGGCTCTACCTCCCATAGTACATTTAGAGACTGTAGGTACCACGAGCAGACCTGATAACTGAAGACTCTACCTCCCATAGTACATTTAGAGACTGTACCACGAACAGGCCTGATGACTGAAGGCTCTACCTCCCATAGTACATTTAGAGACTGTAGGTACCACGAGCAGGCCTGATGACTGAAGGCTCTACCTCCCATAGTACATTTAGAGACTGTAGGTACCACGAGCAGGCCTGATGACTGAAGGCTCTACCTCCCATAGTACATTTAGAGACCGTAGGTACTGAAGGCTCTACCTCCCATAGTACATTTAGAGACTGTAGGTATTACGAGCAGGCCTGATAACTGAAGGCTCTACCTCCCATAGTACATTTAGAGACTGTAGGTATTACGAGCAGGCCTGATGACTGAAGGCTCTACCTCCCATAGTACATTTAGAGACTGTAGGTACTGAAGGCTCTACCTCCCATAGTACATTTAGAGACTGTAGGTATTACGAGCAGGCCTGATGACTGAAGGCTCTACCTCCCATAGAACATTTAGAGACTGTAGGTATTACGAGCAGGCCTGATGACTGAAGGCTCTACCTCCCATAGTACATTTAGAGACTGTAGGTATTACGAGCAGGCCTGATAACTGAAGGCTCTACCTCCCATAGTACATTTAGAGACTGTAGGTACCACAAGCAGGCCTGATGACTGAAGGCTCTACCTCCCATAGTACATTTAGAGACTGTAGGTACCACGAGCAGACCTGATAACTGAAGGCTCTACCTCCCATAGTACATTTAGAGACTGTACCACGAACAGGCCTGATAACTGAAGGCTCTACCTCCCATAGTACATTTAGAGACTGTAGGTATTACGAGCAGGCCTGATAACTGAAGGCTCTACCTCCCATAGTACATTTAGAGACTGTAGGTACCACAAGCAGGCCTGATGACTGAAGGCTCTACCTCCCATAGTACATTTAGAGACTGTAGGTACCACGAGCAGACCTGATAACTGAAGGCTCTACCTCCCATAGTACATTTAGAGACTGTACCACGAACAGGCCTGATGACTGAAGGCTCTACCTCCCATAGTACATTTAGAGACTGTAGGTACCACGAGCAGGCCTGATGACTGAAGGCTCTACCTCCCATAGTACATTTAGAGACTGTAGGTACCACGAGCAGGCCTGATGAACTGAAGGCTCTACCTCCCATAGTACATTTAGAGACCGTAGGTACTGAAGGCTCTACCTCCCATAGTACATTTAGAGACTGTAGGTATTACGAGCAGGCCTGATAACTGAAGGCTCTACCTCCCATAGTACATTTAGAGACTGTAGGTATTACGAGCAGGCCTGATGACTGAAGGCTCTACCTCCCATAGTACATTTAGAGACTGTAGGTACTGAAGGCTCTACCTCCCATAGTACATTTAGAGACTGCAGGTATTACGAGCAGGCCTGATAACTGAAGGCTCTACCTCCCATAGTACATTTAGAGACTGTAGGTATTACGAGCAGGCCTGATGACTGAAGGCTCTACCTCCCATAGTACATTTAGAGACTGTAGGTACTGAAGGCTCTACCTCCCATAGAACATTTAGAGACTGTAGGTATTACGAGCAGGCCTGATGACTGAAGGCTCTACCTCCCATAGTACATTTAGAGACTGTAGGTATTACGAGCAGGCCTGATAACTGAAGGCTCTACCTCCCATAGTACATTTAGAGACTGTAGGTACCACGAGCAGGCCTGATGACTGAAGGCTCTACCTCCCATAGTACATTTAGAGACTGTAGGTACCACGAGCAGGCCTGATGACTGAAGGCTCTACCTCCCATAGTACATTTAGAGACTGTAGGTACCACGAGCAGGCCTGATGACTGAAGGCTCTACCTCCCATAGTACATTTAGAGACTGTAGGTATTACGAGCAGGCCTGATAACTGAAGGCTCTACCTCCCATAGTACATTTAGAGACTGTAGGTACCACGAGCAGGCCTGATGACTGAAGGCTCTACCTCCCATAGTACATTTAGAGACTGTAGGTACCACGAGCAGACCTGATAACTGAAGACTCTACCTCCCATAGTACATTTAGAGACTGTACCACGAACAGGCCTGATGACTGAAGGCTCTACCTCCCATAGTACATTTAGAGACTGTAGGTACCACGAGCAGGCCTGATGACTGAAGGCTCTACCTCCCATAGTACATTTAGAGACTGTAGGTACCACGAGCAGGCCTGATGACTGAAGGCTCTACCTCCCATAGTACATTTAGAGACCGTAGGTACTGAAGGCTCTACCTCCCATAGTACATTTAGAGACTGTAGGTATTACGAGCAGGCCTGATAACTGAAGGCTCTACCTCCCATAGTACATTTAGAGACTGTAGGTATGACGAGCAGGCCTGATGACTGAAGGCTCTACCTCCCATAGTACATTTAGAGACTGTAGGTACTGAAGGCTCTACCTCCCATAGTACATTTAGAGACTGTAGGTATTACGAGCAGGCCTGATGACTGAAGGCTCTACCTCCCATAGAACATTTAGAGACTGTAGGTATTACGAGCAGGCCTGATGACTGAAGGCTCTACCTCCCATAGTACATTTAGAGACTGTAGGTACTACGAGCAGGCCTGATAACTGAAGGCTCTACCTCCCATAGTACATTTAGAGACTGTAGGTACCACAAGCAGGCCTGATGACTGAAGGCTCTACCTCCCATAGTACATTTAGAGACTGTAGGTACCACGAGCAGACCTGATAACTGAAGGCTCTACCTCCCATAGTACATTTAGAGACTGTACCACGAACAGGCCTGATGACTGAAGGCTCTACCTCCCATAGTACATTTAGAGACTGTAGGTACCACGAGCAGGCCTGATGACTGAAGGCTCTACCTCCCATAGTACATTTAGAGACTGTAGGTACCACGAGCAGGCCTGATGACTGAAGGCTCTACCTCCCATAGTACATTTAGAGACCGTAGGTACTGAAGGCTCTACCTCCCATAGTACATTTAGAGACTGTAGGTATTACGAGCAGGCCTGATAACTGAAGGCTCTACCTCCCATAGTACATTTAGAGACTGTAGGTATTACGAGCAGGCCTGATGACTGAAGGCTCTACCTCCCATAGTACATTTAGAGACTGTAGGTACTGAAGGCTCTACCTCCCATAGTACATTTAGAGACTGCAGGTATTACGAGCAGGCCTGATAACTGAAGGCTCTACCTCCCATAGTACATTTAGAGACTGTAGGTATTACGAGCAGGCCTGATGACTGAAGGCTCTACCTCCCATAGTACATTTAGAGACTGTAGGTACTGAAGGCTCTACCTCCCATAGAACATTTAGAGACTGTAGGTATTACGAGCAGGCCTGATGACTGAAGGCTCTACCTCCCATAGTACATTTAGAGACTGTAGGTATTACGAGCAGGCCTGATAACTGAAGGCTCTACCTCCCATAGTACATTTAGAGACTGTAGGTACCACGAGCAGGCCTGATGACTGAAGGCTCTACCTCCCATAGTACATTTAGAGACTGTAGGTACCACGAGCAGGCCTGATGACTGAAGGCTCTACCTCCCATAGTACATTTAGAGACTGTAGGTACCACGAGCAGGCCTGATGACTGAAGGCTCTACCTCCCATAGTACATTTAGAGACTGTACCACGAGCAGACCTGATAACTGAAGGCTCTACCTCCCATAGTACATTTAGAGACTGTAGGTACCACGAGCAGGCCTGATGACTGAAGGCTCTACCTCCCATAGTACATTTAGAGACTGTACCACGAGCAGACCTGATAACTGAAGGCTCTACCTCCCATAGTACATTTAGAGACTGTACCACGAGCAGGCCTGATAACTGAAGGCTCTACCTCCCATAGTACATTTAGAGACTGTGCCACGAGCAGGCCTGATAACTGAAGGCTCTACCTCCCATAGTACATTTAGAGACCGTAGTTACCACGAGCAGACCTCATAACTGAAGGCTCTACCTCCCATAGTACATTTAGAGACCGTAGGTATTACGAGCAGGCCTGATAACTGAAGGCTCTACCTCCCATAGTACATTTAGAGACTGTGCCACGAGCAGACCTGATAACTGAAGGCTCTACCTCCACTAGTACATTTAGAGACCGTAGGTACCACGAGCAGGCCTTATAACTGAAGGCTCTACCTCCCATAGTACATTTAGAGACTGTACCACGAGCAGGCCTGATAACTGAAGGCTCTACCTCCCACAGTACATTTAGAGACTGTACCACGAGCAGGCCTGATAACTGAAGGCTCTACCTCCCATAGTACATTTAGAGACTGTACCACGAGCAGGCCTGATAACTGAAGGCTCTACTTCCCATAGTGTTTGTTCTTAAGATCGGAGTCATCCAATTACACACCAGACTGACTTTCAGACTGACTTTAAAGTTGAATGCATATCAGACCTTGGAGCGAACATCGTGTTTCTCATCTCGGCTTACTCGGTCGTTCTGACTCCACTTGATTAGTGTCAGGTTTTGGCTGATGACCTCTTGAAAAAACGTCCTTAAACACAACGTGACGCTCTGTTCAGAGATTTCACGTGCGGCCTGAACCGTGGGGGGGACCTGAACAGATCAGGGATCAGCTGTAATCAGTTCCACCACCACACCATCCCCTGAATAAACTCAATTTAATACTTGATGATGTGCAGAGCTGCAGCTGTAACTCCTCCCTCTGATCTGCAGTCATTCAGTGTGTAAAGTTTCTGAGAATGAGAATCCTCCATGACTTCCTGTGTTTGCTTTCCTCTGAGTGGAGTGAGCTCTGATCATGATTAGTTTTAGTGGATCAGATGTTTTGTCAGTGATTTCCCTTCTTCTAAATCTAAACATGTCCAACATTTCATACAAACACAGAACTTCTCTCTGACAGCTGATGTTCTTTGTTTGTTTGTTTTCTTCAGAAAACAACGCCTACAGCTTCGGACGCACCACGATAGCCAACCTGAAGTCTGGGTGAGTCCCAGATGGATTGATTTGATTGGTTTCAGCAAACAGTGAAGTTCATTATTAAAGTTGATGATTTTATGAAAGCTTTGACTTGATGTTGAATTGTTTGTGTTCAGGACGAACCTGCTGTGGCTGCACACGGTGTTCGCCTTCATGTATCTGCTCCTGACCGTCTACAGCATGAGGAGACACACGTCTAAGATGCACTACAAGGAGGACGACCTGGTAGGACCATAACGAGCAGACGACTCTATTTAAAAAGAGGATCACTTAGAAATGAGAATGTTTGAACCCGACACTAAAGAATCACTCTGACTCTCTTCTTGTGTTTCTTCTTCTTTTCTGTCACTTGGTTTTTAATCCCAGTTTTGTGTCTTGCAGGTGAAGCGCACTTTGTTCATTAACGGCATCTCTAAGTACGCCGAGGAGACTCAGATCAAACAGCACTTTGAGTAAGTTCACAGAAGTCGTCTCTGAACTAGAATTTATGTTTTAAGATATATGTTTTGGGCTGACCTTCAGGGCCACCGTACAGAGGTAGAGGAGACTGACAGACTTTATGGAAAGTCAAACGTTAAAACTGAAGGTTTCTGTTGAAGATTTGTTTTAGTCCTAAAGTTTCTTTTTGTGTCTTTTCTTCTTCAGACAGGCGTATGAGAACTGCACGGTGTTGGAGGCTCGGATCTGCTACAACGTGGCCAAACTGATGGCTCTGAACGGCGAGAGGTGAGACACAGAGCCCCAGTGCATGCTGGGATACACACAGTACAGCTCCTGGGAGGAGTTTAGAATCTGTAGCCCTCCTAATCCTAAAGGTGTGTGTGTGTGTGTGTGTGTGTGTGTGTGTGCGTGTGCGTGTGCGTGTGCGTGTGTGTGTGTGTCTCAGGAAGAAGACGGAGCGCAGCAAGAAGTTTTTCACAGACCTGATGGCGAAGGAACACGTTCCCACAATGATCAACCCCAAACCCTGCGGACACCTCTGCTGCTGCGCCATCACCGGCTGTGAGGAGGTGATGCTAATGCTAACGCTAACGCTCTGTTCACACATAATCACATTTTTATTTCGTAGGTTGTTAAAAAATGGTGGTTCCTTTATGTTTAAGCCTGATCACTTTGGTGGTCTGACATCCCCTCGGAGAGCTGGCATTTAGTCTTATCTGTTAGTTAGCTTGCTAGCATGTTAGCATGAACTCAGCTGCGTTCTTTCGTCCTGCAGGAGGAGGCGGTCAGCTACTACACCAAGAGGGAGTCCAAACTGAAGGAGGAGTACAGGAAGGAGAAGGAGAAGGTCCACACCAAACCGCTCGGCATGGCCTTCGTCACCTTCCAGAACGAGGCTATGACCGCCATGTAAGACACAACCCGACCCCGCCCTCTCCACGATTCCGCCCTACACTGTGACCACGCCCATTTTATGAGAACAACCCTCTCCCTCCCTAATCCCCCCCACCAATTAAAAAAGAAATGTGTTCTCTAGAAATATATTTGTCTTAATGAAAATCTGATTTGTCCTTTCTCTGACCCCGCCCCCATCTCTGACTCCGCCTCCTTTCTCTGACTCCGCCCCCATCTCTGACTCTGCCTTCCCTCTCTGACTCCGCCTCCTTTCTCTGACCCCGCCTCCTACCTCTGACTCCACCTCCTTTCTCTGACCCCGCCTCCCATCTCTGACTCTGCCTTCCCTCTCTGACTCCTCCTCCTACCTCTGACTCCGCCTCCTGTCCCTGACCCCACCTCCCTGTTTTCACAGTATTTTGAAGGACTTCAACGCGTGTCAGGTTCAGGGCTGTCGGTGTCGGATGGAGCCACGATCCTCTCAGTTCAGCGAGTCTCTTCATGTTCACAAGTGGAGCGTTTCGTACGCGCCCGACCCGCAGAACGTACGCTGGTATGTCCTTAAGTTCCGACCACCGATGACCCCAGCATACACAAAACAAACACAGCCGTCAGACTCAGCTGATGTGTCCTCGTTTCCTCTTGCAGGGAGCACCTGTCTCTGGGCGGGATCTCCTGGTGGATCCGCTGTTTCATCATTAACTGCATCCTGTTCCTGCTGCTCTTCTTCCTCACCACGCCCGCCATCATCATCTCCACCATGGATAAGTTCAACGTCACCAAACCCGTCGAGTATCTCAACGTAAGAAACCACCTTTAGCAGATCTCCAGGACGGACGGGGACTGTTTGACCCTGACCTCTGACCCTCTTTGTTTGTTTGTTGTGTACAGAATCCGATCGTCACTCAGTTCTTCCCCACTCTGCTGCTCTGGGCTTTCTCCTCTCTGCTCCCGACCATCGTTTATTACTCCGCCTTCTTCGAGGCTCATTGGACCAGGTAACCCTGCTGCTGTGTCAAACGCCGACAGGTCGACCAATGACAGTCAGGATTACATAATTTAAACTGTTATTATTTAAACTGAGAATGATTTCACCTGAACAGTTTTCAGGGAAAATAACAACACAACGTAACAAACTACCAATAAAGCCTCAGCACTATAAATCAGTAATCGTCCTACGTCATATTTTAACCTAGTTTTGACCCCAGCTTGACCTTCCTTTGTTCCTGAAGAGTCCTGATTTTAGACTGATTTCAACCCCATTACCTACATTTGTTATGACCTACATTTAACCCTGCTGTTACTCTGATTCAATCCTGGCTTCATCCTGTTTAAACCTCGATTTGACCCCAGTTTGACCCTAATTTAACCCCAAATTGGATCTGATCTTATCATGACTTAACCCAAGATTTATACCGGTTCCGACCATATTTGATTTTTGTTTGACCTTACATAGGGCCTGATTTCCTCTGATTTGACCCTGAAATGCCCTGATTTGATGTTTATTTGACCCCTGATTTTTACCCAATAATAACCCCTAAAGTTCCAACCTTATTATGACCCCTGGTTTAACTCTTATTTGATCCTGATTTAACCCTTGATCTAACACATGCTTTATCTGGTTTAAACTTTGATTTGATCTTGATTTGAGTATGGATATTTCACCTGGGTGTGGCCTAAATTTAACCCTTCATTTATGTCTGTTTGACCTTGATTTGTCCGTTCTTGTGGGCCCTCAGGTCAGGAGAGAACAGGACGACCATGCATAAATGTTACACCTTCCTGATCTTCATGGTTCTGCTGCTGCCGTCTCTCGGGCTCAGCAGGTAACAAAACATATCCACTCTAAATTTCAGAGTGACTTTTGACCTCTGTTGTCCTCACCGACTTGTCCTGTTTCTTCCAGCCTGGATGTTTTCTTCCGTTGGCTCTTTGATAAGAAGTTCTTGGATGATGCTACAGTCCGGTTTGAGTGAGTATTGGAAACATTGGATCCCTCACTGATCAAATATTTAAGAGTATCATTTTTACCGTGCGGCGCTGTGTCTCCTTCAGGTGTGTCTTCCTGCCAGATAACGGAGCGTTCTTCGTGAACTACGTCATCGCCTCGGCTTTCATCGGGAACGCCATGGACCTGCTGAGGATCCCCGGTCTGCTCATGTACATGATCCGCCTGTGCCTGGCTCGCTCTGCCGCTGACCGCCGCAACGTCAAGAGGGTGAGGGCCGACACTGACAGTAGCATTTAAAACTTTGATTTGAGTCTTTAAATGATGTGTGATGAGCATTTCAGCCTCTTGGGGGCACTGCTGTGTCTGTTTCCTGTCTCACACCTTGTCTCTGGTCTCTGCAGCATCAGGCCTACGAGTTTCAGTTCGGAGCGGCGTACGCCTGGATGATGAACGTGTTCACCGTGGTCATGGCGTACAGCATCACCTGCCCCATCATCGTCCCCTTCGGTCAGTCTCATCACACAACATCCCATAATGCACTGCTCCTTCTACTCTATCATTCATACGCAATCAGAACACAAGAAGTCAGAAGTCAGTCCCATCGAGTCAAACTGCTGAGTCATGACTTCCCTGATCCGATGTGATTGGCTGACTCACCTGTCCTCCTGCAGGTCTGATGTACATGCTGCTCAAACACCTGGTGGACAGGTACAACATGTACTACGCCTACCTGCCCTCCAAACTGGACAAGAAGATCCACTCGGGAGCCGTCACTCAGGTGGTGGCTGCACCCATCCTATGCCTCTTCTGGCTGCTCTTCTTCTCCACTGTGCGGACAGGTAAGCCCCGCACCCTGCTGCACAAACTGGCCAATGAAACACCTTTTCTGCTTCATCACTGTCATTGGCAAGTCTTAAAAAGTTAAACCTGCTGAGACAACTTATAATTAAGTACAAATGTTCTCTGTTTAAAGAAGTTAAAGCAAGATGAGCTAAAGTCAGTCGAGACAAGTCCTGACAAATGGTGCATTCATGTGGTGTCGGACACATCAGAAACTTTACAGCTGCAGTTCCTCCAGTGTCCACTAGAGTCTGTCTCCTGCAGTGAGTCAGTCCTCATAGAGCTCTATGTTAAAATGTCTTAACTTTACAGCTGCAGTTCCTCCAGTGTCCACTAGAGTCTGTCTCCTGCAGTGAGTCAGTCCCCATAGAGCTCTATGTTAAAATGTCTAACT